TTTTTTTTTTTTTTTTTTTTTTTTGTTTTGGCACGTGCTGTTATGGAAGCGTCGATGTTGACTTGTATTAATAATAGCAGGCCATCAAGCACGTGGCCCTAATAATATCCTCCCGCCTCCTCATGGTACTGACTCACTCTCCTCCTCCTCCTCCTCTCTCGGAGATCTTCCACATCAACATCATCCACCGGCCCCCTGCTTTGTTGCCATCTCCTCCTGAATCCGCCTACGTTCTCCTCCAGCCTCCTCTCTTGTCTTTGACTTTCTCTCATCTCCTTTGGCTTCCTCCAGTTACCTCCTGCCCCCTTCTGTCTTCCCTCCTTCCTCCTTCCTCCCTTTGCTTTCTCCTCCTACTTTTAGCGCTCTCCTTTGGGTGTCGTCCCGCTCTCTCCTCAACGCTGACCCCTCCCTCTTTCCTCCCCTGGCTTTCTCTTGCCTCCTCTCACATCTTCATTCATGTCTCCTCCGAAGTTCTTCGCGTGTTCCCCTTGCCTCCTCTTGCTATCCTCCATCTGTGTCTTTTCCAGTGTTCTAAATGATGACCACTGAATTCTGAACTCCGAGGGGCGGGGGGGGGGGGGCGCATTTGAGAATCCTCCTGGATCCAAGTGAAGAAGAAGGGGGGCTGAATTCGATCATTTTATTCTGGAGTCTGGAAGCACACAGCGACGTTGGTGACAGTGACCAGGAGGGCAGAAAAGGAACGTTAAGAGGATTTGCGCCTGCGGGGGGCGCTGGTGTTCAGCGGGACAGCGATCCAACTTGATCCCGGAAGGAGGGGAGGGGGCCATTGTAGTGAAATGCCATTTGGTTCTGAAAGTTTCAGGTGGTTCAGTCTTTAACATTTCAGACGCAGCGAGCATTTTCATTTCGATATCCACATGAAAGCAATCAGCTCCAAACGCCGCCAAGCCATGGCGCTTCCCCCGAGTTTGCGCGCGGGATAATTGCGGTGAAATGAAAATGGAGCAGGGACGCAAAGGCTTCCCTCTCCGTGGACACACCTTCGCCGCCTTTGTTGGGAAATTAAGCGGCGAGTGATAACGGGGGGCCTTGGATGTGTTGCAAATATCGAGATGCGGGCGTGCTATTTACCTCATTTGTCGCCATTACACAAAGGCTGGGCGAGGCTCATTTGGGTCGGCGGTCAGCGAGTGTGGGTTAATGAAGCCAACACCCACGAGACGTCACGAAGAAGAGCTTGTTGAGGGGCGAGACACGATCACCGCTTCTCGGTAATTAAGCAGAAAACAAGACGACGACGACGACACGGACAAAGACGACGAGAAAGAAAACGTTGAAGATGAAGAACACAAAAAGAAGACGATGATGA